TTTCAACAAGGATAAAGATTTGGCCTTTTAAAAATACAGTTTAAAACTTTTTTCAAAAATTAATTGTTTTTAAATTGTGTTAAAGTATACATAACAATTTACCATCTCAGTCATTTTTAAGTGTGCAAGTTGGAAATACAGACCAAAATTTAAAAATACTCTTTTAAACCTAGAGTTCATATCCTGATCTACAGAGAAGTGAAAATTTCAAAACACAGTTTCATAGTTGGAAACTATTTTATTATTGCCCATCAAATCAATAACACCATATTGAAAGTAATTAATTCTTTTACAACAGAGCCTTTTTTGTTCCAGTGGAATTCTGAAATCTTTTTTCTTTGTTGAAGAACTGTATAAAGGTTCCACATGGAAGCCAGGATGTGTGTAACTGCACACTCAGAATTACTATGAACTCTCTCACTAATCAAACTGATACGATGCTCCTTTCAAGTCAGCTGTCTCTTTAATCGAGTCCCTCACTGAAGGAATTTCAGATCACAAGCAAAAATCTCTGCAGCAGTACTTCTTTACAGTCGTGTAACTGAATCTCTTTGGGAAAAAAAAAGACACCCTTTTATTTCTAGACCTCTACTTCAAGTGAAAATTAAACAATTCAATTCATTAGGTTGCTTTTTGGCAGTCTATCTACAGGTCTCACAGACGACTTTTCAGAATGGTATCTCGGGTTCATCGACTGGTAGACCTAGTTAACAGGCCAACTGAACTACAGGGCACTCGCTAGTTTCCTTTCTTCCCCCTGATTTACTTTTGATAAGTCACTGGACTACAGACACGCTTCAATCTTATTATAGAAATGTTTCTGAATCTAGATTCGGACTGTTCAACCAAAAGCAGTGATATGGAAACTGACTAGGGTCAATTTCAGACCTTATTCAGGTCGGCACTATTCTCTTGTAAGGAAAAGAACTGATTGGAACTACCTGGATAACAATAGTAAGTGCACAGGCAGAAAAGGGCAAGCTTGTCTCCACTGCCATAGATGGCACCCTCCCCCCTTTTCAACAAATCTTTTTGATGTTTAGAAATGTTGGTGTTCTATACTGCATCCAAGGCCCTCTTTTAGTGAAAGGCAAAAAAGAAACATGCAGAACTCTAAAAGCATTGGCAGAAATATTATAATTAAGAGGTTTTTGTAACAGTAGTTATAACGTGGTTCTCACAGGTTGCATTTGGCCATTTGCAAGGCTTGAACCCAGAACACAGAAAAATACTGTTGATACACATTTAAATACTGAGGTCCCAATTAAATCCACTACAGCAGTCACATGTTGAGCCTTGGCTCTCCAGATTTCTGCAATGGGACCCCATTTCCTAATCCCTGAGTATTTGAAGCCTATATAAAGCTCCTTTAGGGGCACTTGTTTCCCACAACTCTGAGCTGCCAGGAAGTTAAGACAAGGGCATCTAGAGGCCTTAACAACCCAAACTGGAAAGCTTTAGGCTAACACCCTGATTAGAGATTAACTACTACTCTGAAAACCTGGAGCACATTGAAATGCTTTCCGACTTTCTCATGCAGACATCACCTCAGTGCTGTATAAATTAGTCATACTGTAAGCTCTATTTTAGATGCTGTGTACAGTACATATACACGACGGCCCTCAGCGGTTGGAGCCGTGCATGGATCCACTTGCTGTGAGCCGGGTGGGAAAGTCAGGTGGGTTCAACGAACGCCCTGATATGCTAGCCCCAAGCCCTCCATCCTACCTCCCGTTCCAGATTTACTGCGAGGCAGAGTGAGCTAGGAAGGGCGGGCGGGTGGTGAGTAGCTCCCGAAACTACTCAGAGTCGGGCAGGTGCTTGGGCTCCCTCTGCTTCCCACCCACCCGCCCCAGGAGGGAGGTCCTCACCTCCAGCTTGTCTGTCAGCTCCTTGTGCATCTGCTCGTACTGCCGGCTCATGTCCTGGTTCCTCTCGAGCAGCGCCTTGCCCAGCCGGGCCGCCAGCACCAGATCCTTCTCTTTCTGCCGGATCACCGACAGCAGCTCTGGGTCCTGGGCGGGCGGTGGCTGCGGTCCGGGCCCCTCGGCCAGAGGCCCGGGCTCGGCCTGAGAAAGCTCCCCGGGGTCGGACGGCCGCTCCCCGGCCGCCCGCAGCGCCCGCTCCCCCTCTAACCCCCGCTCCAGGCCCCCC